ATTTCTGAATAAACAGTAAACCTGGTATTTATATAATGAATTCAAAATCTGACTGATCAGAAAAAAATGTCATAAATGCAGAACATGGCAGCTGTGTGTACAACGCAAAGAGGCAAAAGATGCAGAAAAATATGATGAAATCAACTTAGATTTGATTAAATCATTGACTTAAGAAAAGAAATTCTTTCACAACAAAAACACACTGAATGAATACTTCAATGCTGCCAAATGCAGACTAAGTACTAAACAGCAGATCGCATGACTGAAAACAGTAGACCATACGACTTGAGAAATGAATTATATAAGAAACAACAATATCTATCATAGACTTTACGTAGGTTCAAACAACATACCAGTCTTGGTGACTCGTGTACCAAACAAATAAACAAACAAACAAACTAACAGATAGTGCTGCAGCTGAAAACAAGTCAAGACGTGTATTTATGACCTCAGTCAGGACTGACTTAATTCCTCTTCAGCATGCTAGGATAAAGCCAAGAGACATACATGAAACTGTTGAGTGACTAGAACACAAAATGTTTAATTTCACGTCTTTTCCTGACTCGGCCCACAATTGTTTCTTTTTTTTTTTTCTTTCTTTAATTTGAAATAAGTCCAAACATAAGCCCCATTTTACGATCAGAGATAAGATTGTTGCTATCATACATAGGCTAAGGAACACCGTGATGGGTCAGAAGACTGAGCCGGGTCAGCTTCCTTCTGTCCAAAGTCGACTCGGACCACTATACTGCCGTAAACTTACCATGAAAAAACATCTTTTTTCGTTTTGGCGTCAACATTTTTTTATTTGCTAAATCGAAAGCCTGATCAGTTGCCCTACTTATGGGAAAAAATCAAATTGAAATTGTTACTAGTTTTTGAATGAATGAATTAGAATTCAAATTTTGGTATGACTCTATTTTTAAATGATTATGCCAACAAAAAAAAACTCTTTTTCTCAAAACTGCTCTGAAGAAAAAAAATGCGTTTTTGTCAGCTTACAGCACTAAAGTTCTGCGGAACATAAATGATATGACGATACCGGCCGTCAAAAGTGGATACATGCATCTGCTGCTTCTGCACTTTTTTACAGCTTCTGTATTTTTATAAAACATCTTTTACCTGTCAGTTTCAGTCATCCCTGCCCCCCCCCCCCCCCCCCACCCCACCCCCAAAAAAAACCTTCAAAAATGCTATCAATGTGTAAACAAGCACTGGGTTTTCTTAAATAATAAGCAAAAGTACAAGTCATTGTACACACTTCATACAGACTAACTGACTTTAAAAACTACAATGACACATTGACATGCATTCAACAAGACAGCAGTTAGTTTACATTTCATTATCGTCCAAAGTTTCACCAATTCATCTCCTACAGTACAGAGTACTTCCACTTTCACACAGTTAACATTTGACAGCCTGAACTATACAGCCATAACATTCATTGTCTTTACGCTTCGTCAAAAATGTGATGTCTAGAATTAACATTTAACGTGAGTTACTTTAAGGCAAATGCTCTCAGACAGACACTATAGATGGCATAAGTTGGGCGGAAAGTGAAGGTGAAAAATGGAGATTCTGAATCTCCTAAGGGTGTAAACGTACAGCAATCACATTTCTACACTTTGTTTTGTGATCAGAGATACACTACTGGGAAGTCTGTGAACAGAACACATTCTGGTGGTGTTGTTAATGCCTCAAGAAACGATACTTTTCTTCTGTGTGCCGTTTATTTGGACACTCTTCCCACACGAGACGAAATAAGCAACAGTAGGATGTCATCTCTTCCCCACCCCTAACCACCCACCTCCCATCCCATTGAGCGCAGAAATCAGTTTGTTTATTTTGGTAAGTGTTGTACGGCGCTCGCAACTGCATAAGGTCATATGAGTGTGCAATCAGTTTGATACAACTAAGGGGGGGGGGGGGATTCTTCAAAAATGTTGAGTACACCTAGGGTGAGCTGCTTTACACAGTCACCGTGAAGAGAATTTGGGTGATGAATATATCAATGTGGCGTCGGTGGCCTAGTGGTTAGGCTCTCGGACTCGCAACCGTAAGGTCGTGGGTTCGAATCCCGTCAAGGGCCTGACGTTGTGTCCTTGGGAAAGGCATTTTACACGAATTTTCCTCACTTCACCCAGGTGGGAATGGGTACCCGACTATAGACAGCGAAAGATCTTGTCAGTTTGTTAGTGTTTGAGCGCTTAATCGGCTGCTCGCACTGTATGCTTCCCGGGAAGCTGAGAATGTTTCGGAGTGTTCTATGGTCTGCTGAGGTAATAATATAGTGTAAAGCGCATAGAGCCTGCTGTTGAGCGGGGATATGCGCTATACAAATGCTATCTATTATTAATGTTTTCAGCCTGTATTTGGATTCCTATTATAATGAGCAGGTGCAATTGTTACATTAAATTTTCTTTATGTCCTGAAAGTATCATAATGATCCAAGAATTTTTAAAGTGAGATATAGGTATAGCAATATAATACTGATGTTCCCCATTTTCCTTCCAATTCTACCTCCTGATATGTGGAGACAGGGGTTTTTGCACTCTGCACCCTGTGAGGGGGAAGTGCAAAACCACAAAAGGACCCTTATTTATCAGGTTCCTGGACAGAAACTATGAGACAAAACATCTGGTCCTGTCCCTGCATACAAGGGCAGGAAGACAAAACGACCGAGAGAGGATGGGAAAATTCCGCCTCAGTTTAGATAAAAATTAAAAACCTGCAACACATGTATATGGACATCTAATGAGTATGGCGTATTCAGTTATCTTATAGCATATAAAACGTCAAGCATGCTGACGAAATGAGTCACTTCTAACAATCCACAAATGGAGATATTAGCCAAAAATCGACACTGGGGTCAAATTAGTAGATTCTCTATTGATGCATTATTCTTAAAGTATAACGTGCGTTTTTTTGTTATTTCATACTTATAAATTGTAGAACCTTCACCTATAAACATGATGTATCTGGTTCCTTGAACACAAAAAGTAACTCGTTTTGTCGCCACACTTAACAAACAAGTCCAATAACGGTGATGAAATAAGTCTTCATCAAAGTTTTCCTTCATGACAATCTCCCTGAATGTAAATTTTAAAATGTGTAACTGAAAAAAAAAAAAGATCCAAAATGAAACATTTGTGGAGATTCTTATTTTGAACAACGAGTCTAAATAATAAGACATGAAATGCCCTCATATCATTAGTCATTAGAGTTCCAACATAATTTCAAACATCTAAATGACGTTGACATGTAACTCTGAAACATAAGTGACGAACACAAGTCTTGGTCGAGGCAATCTCGTTCCTACAGAGACTCAAGTAAAAGACAAAAAAAAAAGCCCAGAAAAAAATCTGGGCGAAAAGAACACGTTATTTGTAAAATATACTTAGTAACAGGAAATAACACATTTTGCATTGAAGAGCACATAAAATACGTAGGCTAAAAAATCCCAAAAAATATAATAAAACAAAACTAACACTTTAAACAGCGAGCAGAAAATGTGTTGCGAAGCAGTGGAATCAAGAGCACATCTATTATTATTTTGGGGCATTTTGAGTTACTGATATTAGCTTAAAGCATGTTCATTTGTCTCGCTTTTGATGAAAAAATAATAATCTATCTTGAATAAAAGTTGTGAATATTGTGTTTGAAGGAGTGGGTCACCTGGTGTCAGAGGTAAAATTAGCTAAAAAATTACAGTCAAAGTTTGGTGACTTCTCAAGCTTCCGTGTCCTTGAAAACTGCAATTTTACTTTTGTTTGTGTGTCTTTGATCAATGTTTTACGGTAAAATCCACACAGAAATTAGTTTTTAAAAAGACATAAAAGATGTTGAGCTAAAAAAAAAGAAAATAGATCAAAATTGCTCAACCCACAGGAAAATGCTGGTTTCTTCAATTTCATTATTTTGATGAGCACCTGATTTTAACACAATGCCTTACAATTTTGTAAACCATGATTAGAAATGATAAAATGTCTTCAATAGAATGAAACAATGACCCATAACAATCTCTTTTTCCTCTATCCCAATCCGACTTTCGTATTTGTAATCTTTAAAAAATGTGGTGAATAAAAGTATTATAAACAAATCTAACTGAAAAAACCCAGAGATTGACGAGGTCAACATTTTTGACTACACAAAGAAAAAAAAGGTAAATTTTAAAAAAATGTAATTTAAATACCCCTTTTCATTTCACTCTAAATGCTTCTTTTATAGAACAGCAAAAAAGAACAACAACTCATTCACTAATCTTGTAAAGAGTTCTTCCTAGTCTTCTCCCCTGTCTGCTCCCTTCCTCATTCCCTCCCTCCCTCCCTCCCTGAAGCTTCTCAAGTTTTCAGAAAGAAAAAAACTATAAAATCAGAGCACTGCCCAACTTCCCGATTCACACCACCAACAAATTACCCATTTTTTTCAAAACGAAAAAGAGGGTGGTTGGTGGGTGTTCAGTTGCGGTTAGCTCTTTTTTTCCTTTCAAACATCTGTCATACTTTATCTCCCCTCTTTCTTTTGCCCGTAAGTTACTTTCTAGTAATAAAACCTCCAATCCTTGGCACTATATATAACCTAATTGGGTTGCAAGTGCCGTAAAACTCTCACTAAAACTAAACAGAACAAACAAAAAAGTTTGAACCGCGAGTGACCACTGTACGTTGAGCTTCTCACCTTGTGACACATAACTCAGACAAACTTAACAACATCTACATATATATATATATATATATATATATATATATATATATATATATATATATATATATATATATATATATATATATACAAATAACTTATCAACAACATTTGAGTTGAGTTGAGGGGGACACCTTCAGTAAAGCATCAGCTGTTATTAGAACTGCATGGGCTGATCAGCTGCATCGATTGTTTATTTCTACGTTTTCAGTTAGAAAAAAAAAAAAAGATAAAAATATCATTCAAGAACACCTGAATTATTCTGAGCTTTAATAATATCTTGTAACCTGCATTTTTTCTGACTGAGTAAGAGTAAAAATTAGAATATTCTAAATAAAGCCAGCAGTAAATTACCTAAATATTCATGACCACAAAAATTAGAGCTCAATACTCAATGATAATGCTCAATCTTTTAAAAAATGTTTTAATCTTATATAATACATATGCAAGACTTTATCTATGTTTATAATATTGTTGTAACATTGAAAAAACCCTTGCACTGTATGTTTCCAGGGAAGTGGAGATCATTTGTGAACGTTTTTTGGGTCTGCTGTAAAAAGCACAGAGCTTGCTGTTGAGAGAGAATGTGTGCAACACACATTACCGTTGGCCCGTTGCTCAAAAGCACTCAACCCAATATATTGGAAACAACTTTTATAGCCGTTTTTTAATCTGTGGTAACGGTTGGTTGCAAGTGCTCAAGAAATATTTTGTCAAAATTCAAATTGTACTTGTTGGAAAAAAAACAAGAAAGACGTACATTTTTAATGAAGTTCAGTTATAAAAAAGAATATAACAGACTGGGTTTTTCTCTCTCTCCTGAAACATTTTGCTCTCTGGGTTTAGAACATTAGAAAAGCTTGCTGGCGAAATCCTAATCATTATCATTACCTTTATTTGTTTTATTATTTTAATTTTATTGTTATTAATATTATAATTATCATTAGTAGTAGTAGTAGTAGTAGTAGTAGTAGTAGTAGTAATAGAAGTAGTTGTACATATTATTATGATTATTATCCTTATTATTTCCTCCAACTATTGGGTCTCTTGTAGCTTCGTCAGTTTCTCCATAAGAACCAGCGCTGTACTGAAAGATGAGGGGAGTCAAGATCACAGTGCCGTGAGACTACACAGATGTGTTGCTGCCCCATATAGATCCCACCGGGGTGGGATTGGCTCCCGTCTCCAAGGTCATGGTCGAGCTTGCGCCGGTCATCTGAGTGTTGACCGTGTTGATGGTGGTGCTGCTTCCGGCTAGCAGACGTGCGATCTCGTGGACGTCCAAGTGGCTGCGGTAGATTTTCTGACCCACCTGGTACTGGAGAGTTCCGAAGTTTTGCTGGCCCTGTCGTTCGGGGGAGTAGCGGTCCTTCCTGTCGTTGGCCAGCGCCGGGCCCCAGTGAGGGAGGGGCATGCTGCGCATCTTTAGCAGCTGGAGGGAAAGAGGAAGACCAGAAAAAGTTGCAGATTAGGACACTGTTTAACTAAAAAATGTTGCAAATTAGAGCATGGTCGAAAAATGTTTGGCTTTATTTTTAAGTCTCTATATGAGGTAGACCAGTTCAATTCTTGATTGAGGAGAATATTTATGAAGTATCTTAGTTTTTTAGCTGGGATGCTGTACCCCTCTCAGCCTGGATTGGCCCAGACAGGCAAGGTCTGAATCCTGCCTCCTAAATAATCTGACTTAGGTTGATGGGGGAGTAAAAACATATGTATGTTAAATGAAAAATTTAATACGAAAACAGAGACATAAAAAGATTTGATTGATTTAGCAAGGTTTTACGGTGCTCACATCAGCCTAAGGTCATAAAAGCGCCAAGGGGTGGATGTCAACAGAGAAGTCCAAATGGGGAATCAAGATTACTCTGCTCACCTCTCTAGCCTCAACAGGACAAAGTCTGCTTCGACTATCAAGGCACCCTGGAGATAGCAGTTCACAAGAGAATGACAAAACATACAAAAGAAGTAGAGGAAAAATGATGATAGTAAGGATGAGGAAAGAAAAAGCAGCAGTTCCTCCTATGTTGTTCCAGCACAATATGAGCATGACATTGATAAATCAGCCCAACATAAAAAGAGAGAACTTACTCTGAAACCTCCTTTCTTGCAGTAATAATAGACGAACCAAACAACAATGGCCGACACAGGAAACATGACGATGAGCCAGCCCAATGCCTCCGCCCATCCAGGAAACGGCAGTCCTTTGTAGGTCGGGGCTTTGTAAAAGATCGCGTTCAGGATGATGGTCAGCTGATAGAGAAAACATTTTTGAAATTGAGCTTTTAAAGTTCAATGTGTCAGGACGAATCTTATATGATGTAGTATACTGAAATAACTGGTTATGGAGTCAATCAGTAAAGGCTTAATCCTGAAAGGGTCAATCAGCAATACTCATTGAAACAAACTCATGCCCCCCCAAAGTTGGGGACAGAAATCACTATTGTTTTTTTAAAACGAGTAAACTGCTAAAAACAAGATACCCTCCTTATCAATCCTTTCAAACAGGAAAGTATCTTTAAGAGATCATCTTCCGACTAGGAATACAACGCACACAACTTTAACAACACATGTACAGATGTTTTAAACTTGTAGAATCACCAAAATGCCACGACACACAGAACCGTAAGACAGGAAACACACCCATTAAACACACACACACACACACACACACACACACACACACACACACACACACACACACA